TGTGTGTGTGTGTGTGTGTGTGTGTACATCAGTGAACACTTTTTTCATACAAATGTGTGACAGCATGCGTGTGTGTGTGTGAATCAGTGTGTATGTTGTTCATACGACAATGTAACTGTCACTATGTGTGTGCGGCGATGGGTACGTTTGTTCATACAACTGTGCAACAGTGTGTGTGCGCCGATGTGTATGTTTGTCCATAAGAATGTGTGTGTATTTTTTCCAGTTGCAATGTCCCAGACATCCCCGCCGACATTCCTCCCTCTCTCCTGCCGGCAGACATCGGGATATCTTTGAGATCCCCCAGAGAGCGTCCAGCAAACAGAACAAATCTGTCCCTCCCAGCTGGAACAGCCTGCCTCTCATTCCGCCCGGACCCGACCACAAACACAACTCGGACACTGGGTAAACAATTAGGACATAACCAGACCCACTTTTTCTTCCGGCTTATCCAGCTTCAACAGCAAAACTCCGAGTCAAAGAAACGGTTTGGAAACCAGTTAGCACTTTCTGGTTCCGGGGACTCAAAGGGGAGAAAAGAATTTCGAAGCTCTAAAGTTAGAACGTATTATCAGTCATATTGTGTATTGTTTATTGTGCAGATAGAACTTTGTTGTGAGAGAGTGAGAGATGTGTGTGAGGGGACGACCCGGCGGCCAAGTGCAGCTGCTACAATGTGTCACTCGGCCGGACGGTTGCGTGAAAGAATCCTGACCAATATCTCAAAAGGCATGAGCATGAGCAAAAAAGGACGAAGAAAAAGACGAGAGTTTGCGAGAAAGCGCGGAAAAGAAAATGGCGTCGTCGGGAACAATCGCGCTGTATTTCATTTTCATAGCTCTCGACTCACGCGTGCAGTTTGTACCGTCTGCTCTCTGCCGCTACTGAAAGGAGCCTTTGTGCCTCTCTGCGGCGTGCTCGTGGTTAGGGTTATTGTTAGAGCATCGGTTAGTTTAACCAGACCAAAGATCAGATTCTCGAGAGGTAGAACCTGAAGGGTGCAGTATCCGAGAACAGTGATATTGAAGGACAGGACTTTTTCTCTCTCATTCTCATCCCGGCAGAAACAATCACAGGTTCAGAGCATTTTCGCCTCTCAGCTAGGATCGTCCACTATTTGATATTTTTGTGGTGAAGGAAGCCAGCAGGCGATAGGATATACTCGCATAAAATCTTTCGTGTTCTAAAATAGCTCTCCAGTTCGGTTGGTGACGGAATTGTGTATAGAACTATTTTAAAATATAACGTTATCCCTTTTTTTTTTTTACATACTCGATAATAGAAAGATTCTGTCTCCCACCCAGACAGGAAGACAGAACCGTCCTAGTTTTGATGGTTGTGTGGTGAGAAGCTGTTAAGCGACAGAAAAATTTTATACTCTAACGAAATGTTTAGTGTTCCAAAATAGCCACTTTTTCGATAAAGAAAAGAAAGGTGGTCTTTTCTTCCTCACCACCAGAAGATCGGAAACTCCAGTTTTTTAAAATGTTTTTGTGTTAAGGAAACTAGAAATAAATAGACTAGATCTATAATATCGCCGGAAGGGGGGGTCCAAATGTTCTACTAAGCCCAGAAAATGAATTTTTTATCAGGACAGAAGGAAAAAATATTTCGTTATTTTAACACTTTTACCTTAATTATGTAACTTTTCTTGCTTTTAAAAAATATTAAGAACTTGAATTTCGACAAAATTAATATTTCTTGAGCAAATGCAACCAATATGAAAAATAAGAAACTGAAATTGATTAAGAAAACAAAAAAACCAAAAGGAAATGAAAATTGTGGGCTTAGTATTTGAACAGCTGACCGACGATATAACTCTCCTCCTCTCCTCTATAGTGTCTTGTGTTCCGAAATAGCTTGCTTGCTTGTCTCTCAATTCTGTTTTCGGTTTTTAGTGTATCGTTGCGACAACAGAGCTGTCATTCCCTCCCACCACAGGATGCGGTATGCGATAGCATCGTCCAGTATTTTATATTTTTGAGTTAAGGAAGCTCGAAAATGACAGATATTCCTACGCCATGTTCGGTGTTCTAAAATAGCTAGCTAGTTTGGTGGGCTGACAATTTATTTAATTTGTTCCTATAGCTGTTGCTGTTGGTTTTGTTTATTTATTTAGTTTCTATGGGTGAGACACTCGTTTCACCCTATCTCAAGAAATATTAGGATATCATCTTCCAACATTTATTTCCCTCATTAGGAAGCTAGTCAGCGATAGAATCTTCTTCTCTTGCTACTTGTTTCGTGTTCTGAAATAGATTGCTTGCTTGGTTGGCAACTGTATTTTGTATCCGCAGCTTTTGGACAGTCGTTGAGAGGACAGGTCTGTCTAAAACTTTTTAAAACCTCGCCCATCACAGTCAGAAAAGAGAGAGAGAGAGAGAGAGAGAGAGAGAGAGAGAGAGAGAGAGAGAGAGAGAGAGAGAGAGAGAGAGAGAGAGAGAGAGGCGTGGGGAGGGGGATAATTGGTATCGCGACTTCTTGGCTTCTCCACATTTTTCTCGTTCTCAATTCTCCCTTCAAGGACGCTCAGATCTAAAGACGGAGTCACACACTGGCAATCTCTCGCGCCTGTCCTTCTGGTCTGAAATCGGAGTTTGTGAAAAGCAAGTGGAATTTAGCCGAAGTTTGCACTTTTTCTAACACGGAAAATTTACACAGACAAACTTTGTGCCTTTTCTTGAAGTTGTCGTGGTCACAGTTTAAAAAAAAAATCTCCCCGGAAAGGAAAATCGATGAGCCCATTGCTCCCAGCCCAGACCTTTCTAGATAAATGACTGAAGTGAGTGGCCCACAGAGCATGGACTATACTCTGGCTACACTGTGGCAACACGTGAAGACAATGGACACCGTCTCTATATGACGGGGTTTGAACCATACCTTTCAGAAGCTACTCGTGATCGGATGCCTCGTGCATGTGTGCATAATAATGTACCTGTGATGAGATCCTGTTTGTGAACGTTTATCCGAGTGACATCCAGTTTTGAACCTGTATCAGACTAAAGAGTTAGATTTATCAGACTATTTTTAGAGAGAATTGACCAGACCATACGAAAAGTGAACGTTACCAGAATATTTAGGGTGAACTTTATGAGAGTACCGGTATTAATTTTTGAAGAGTGAGTGTGTAGGCTTGGAAATTTCTACTCCACTTCGTCCATCTAAACGATGTGAAGAAGAAGAAAGAAGGCACTGTGAGAGCGCAGAGACAGTTGTTCAGAGACACGGTATTACAATTGTTTTTTATCCAGCAGCAGAGAAGACTCACATCCTTTGAGACTAAAACTACAGTACCAGATACCTTTTGGTGGTTTCTGTCTGAAGTAAAAGCCTAGAAATAGTGAGAAGCTCAGTCAGATTTTGGAAGACAGATAGATAAAAGTGCTCGAGGAGTAAAGAACAAAAAACGTGGAGAAGGTTAGGCTACATTTTGCCGAGTAACGGTTGACGCAGCTACCCCTGTGACGTCACAGCCTGGCATGATGGCGTGGCAGAAACATAGATGCAGTTTCCTCAAGACAAGCTATCTACAGGCTGGCATTGTCCTCTTCTTTCTGGGGCTAGCGAAGGTAATTAATGAACGAGTGTTGTGGACATATTGCTGCCTTTTCCATGTTGTTGTCGATGTTGTTGTTGATGTTGCTGTTGCTGATGTTTGTGTTGTTGATGTTGTTAGTGTTGTTGTTGTTGATATTGGTGGTGATGTTATTTTTGTTGTTGTCGTTGTTGTTGTTGTTGTTGTTGTTGTTGTTGTTGTTGTTGTTGTTATTGTTGTTGCTGCTTGATACTTTGCCTTTTCTTCATTGTTGTTATTGTTATTGCTCTCATTGTTGATATTGTTCTGGTTATATTTATCTATCTATCTATCTATCTATCTATCTATCTATCTATCTATCTATCTATCTATCTTCAACCTTGCCTACCAGAGCCAAACTGGATAGAGAGGGATACAACATCTCAGCAGAGAGACTGAATTCCTTAAAAGTCTCCCCACTCGGGGATCGAACTCCAGATTCAGATAACCACCTATCTATCTATCTATCTATCTATCTATCTATCTATCTATCTATCTATCTATCTA